GAATGTTAGGCTTCTCCCGTGGAAGTTCAGGTATGGGTACAAAGTCTTGCCCCGATGCCACTTTAAATGGAGTAAACCCAGTACTACTATGTACGGAATTGTTATATGCCACCTCAGCAAATGGCAATAGGTCAGCCCAATTGTCTTGCTGATAATTTATGTAACATCTAAGATATTGTTCCAATACCGCGTTAGTTCTCTCACAAGCCCCATTAGTTTGTGAGTGGTGGGTGGAGCTTAAGCCCTGGGCGGAGCCCAATAACTTCAGGAACTCCATCCAAAAGTTTGAGGTGAATTGGACACCCCTGTCTGAGATTATGCATTCAGGAACCCCATGTAACCTGTAGATATGTAAAATAAACAGTTTAGCCAATGTTTTTGCAGATGGAATCTTCGAACAAGGTATGAAATGTACCTGTTTGGAAAACAAATCAGTTACCACCCAAATAACTGTGTTTCCCCCACTTTCAGGTAATTCCACTATAAAATCCATAGAGATTTCCTTCCATTGAGCCGTTGGTCTAGCCACATTTTGTAGTAAGCCTGCTAGCTTACCAGGGGGCCGTTTGGCAAAGGCACAGATAGAACAACTAGCTACATAAGTTTCAATGTCCTTCTTCAAAGTAGGCCACCAAAATTGCCGTTTAACCAAGTGTAAGGTTTTCACGAATCCAAAATGACCAGCCGCTTTAGAATCATGAGCTTGCTGTAATATTTGGACCCTCAGTTTCTCTGGCACATATAATTTGGCTCCCACCCATGCCAATCCATCTCTAACCATACAATTATTTGAGTGAGCAAGGAACCAGTCATCAAGTTTTAGAGCATCTCTTAATTGTGCAGTCAAATCATTCAATAATTCCACCTCCTTCTTTGGGCTCTGGTAACCACTGGAGCTGCCAACTGTTTGGTTGGGACAGTCGGCCATACCACTTCCTGGCAAGCACTATTATATTGAGGTAGTCTAGATAGAGCATCCGCCATGAAGTTCCTCCCCCCTGGAATGTACTTCAATGAAAAATTAAAGCGTTTAAAGTACTGTGCCCAGCGAATTTGTTTGGGGGACAGCTTCCGGGGCGTTATCAAGGCCTCCAAATTTTTATGATCAGTCCACACCTCAAATGGGTGTTTTGCTCCTTCAAGAAATGTCTCCAAGTTAACAGGGCCCAGCGAACTGCAAAAGCTTCTTTTTCCCAGACAGCCCATCTCCTTTCGGTTTCAGATAATTTACGGGAAGTATATGCGCATGGTTGTAAAGTCCCCGTCTCATTTGCTTGCAGTAACACTGCTCCAACTGCTACGTCACTCGCATCGGCTTGGATCACAAAAGGAGCATCCATGTCTGGGTACTTGAGTACTGGTTCAGCAGCAAACAGTCGTTTCAGCTTTTCAAAGGCAGCTTGACATTCCATGGACCACTCCAGTGGCTTACTAGGCTTTGGTTTCACCTCCCATTTGGTTTTTAGGAGGTTTGTGAAAGGCAGTGCTATCTTCGCAAAAGCCGGGATAAATTGTCGGTAAAAATTGGCGAATCCCAAGAAACTCTGAAGTTGTTTCCTGGTGCGTGGAGGGGCCCATTCCAACACGGCACGAACCTTCCCCGGATCCATTTCTATGCCCTCATGTGAGATGCGATAACCCAAATAGTCAATTTTTGTCCTGATGGAATTCACACTTGGACAATTTTGCATACAGCTTAGCGGCTCGGAGTTTTTCCAAAACTGACCGCACTAATTTCACATGTTCATCACGAGTCTCTGTGTAGATAAGGATATCACAAGGTAAACCAAAACTCCTTTGTATAAATGTTCATGTAACACTTGATTGATCATTTGCATGAATACTGCTGGGGCCCCCTGTAGGCCAAATGGAAGAACAACCCATTGGGCAGTTGAAAGCGGTTTTCCATTCATCCCCTTCCTTAATTCGAACCTGGTAGTATGCTTCTCTCAAGTCGAGCTTCGTAAAAAATTTCCCCTTGGCCAGGTGGGTCAACATGTCCTTCACCAAGGGGAGGGGGTACACGTTTTCCATGGAAATAGCGTTCAGGTTTCTATAATCAACACATAAGCGAAGGGAGCCATCTTTCTTTTCACGAAACAACACTGGGGCCACTACCCGGGGTCTAGCGGGTTGGATGAAACCATGTTCCAAATTCTTATCGATAAATGACCGCAGCTCTTCTAGCTCCCGCGGTGTCATCGAGTACAACTTCGGTTTTGGGAGTTTCACCCCGGGTAAAATTTCAATACTACAATCTGTTGAACGATGGGGCGGAAGCTCATCCAAGGCCTTTTCACTGAATACTTCCTTTAAGTCCCAATATTCCTCTGGAATTTTCTCCTCCCCCTTCAGTTTCTCGGTACCCGTGGAGGCCAGTTCAGTGGGATTCTTGAGTTTCAGTTGGGATCGCCCCTCCCCTTCTGGGCGCTGGTCAGTACATATGCGCAATGACCCCCTCCTCCAGTCGACGTGGGGGTTCCATTTCCACAGCCAGGGCAATCCCAGTATTAGCAGCCGTTCCATCCCAGGGGCCACAATAAAACACAAAGTCTCTCTATGCTTCCCCATCGTCATTTCTATGGGTTCCGTTATGAAATGTGCAGGGCTGCCCCCAGCTACTGATCCATCCAATTGGCAAAAGGCTATGGGCATTTTTAAGGTCTTTAGTCTTAAGCCCATTTTCTCCACTACTTCCGAGCTGACTACGCACCTTGTGCACCCAGAGTCTAACAAGGCCAGCATTTTCTCTTTGGCTCCTGATGTGGGTACCCTTAACTTCACTGGAATGGTCATAGGGCCCTTGTTTGGACTTACCAGTGAGTCGTCTTCCGATTCGAAGTCACTCTCTTCAGAAGAGGTTGGAGTTCCCAGCTCCTCTCCTTTCGGAGGGGTGACCTCTACAACCTCTTCGACTTTAAGTGCCGTTTCGCGAGGCTTCGCTAGGGTTTTTCCAGGTCTTTTTCCTCCTCCTGGCGCCCCGTTTGGTTCCAACTTGGCCCGGCAATCTGCAGCCCGGTGACCTTCCTTCCCACATCGGAAGCAAGCAGTGGCCTTGGGTTTCGCCGCCATCCCTCCCTTTTGGGTTTTTAAGGCTTCTTGAGGACGGGTGGGGGAGGACTTGCTCCAACTAGAACCCCCCCGGCATCTGTTTTGGGTTAGATCAATTTCCACCTCTGCTGCCAGCACGTACCACATCTGCAGCTCATTGGGGTCTCTTCTGGCAATGCAGCTTTGGTATATGTCTTCATTTAACCCATCCTTGAATGCTTCTATCAGGGCTCCCTGGGACCAGCCTCGAATATGACATGCCAGCTCTCTAAATTCCTGGGTGTAGTCGGCCACTGATCTCCGCCCCTGATTTATGGTCTTCATCCTAATTCTGGCCTTACGTTCAGCAAGTGGGTCTTCAAACCTGGCCCGCAGCGCAGTCATGAACAGGTCATAATTCATCAGCTGAGGGGCATTCTTCTGGCTGGGGCTGCCTCCCCCTCCTCTCCCTCATACCTTTGTTCAGTTTGAGGTTCTCCGATAGCTTCATGTAGAAGATGCACGGCTTGATTTAGTAAAAAGTTCTTCCTTTCCTTCTCTTGCCATGGCTCCTCTCTTCCACGCTGACAGGTAGTGGTCACTCCTGGAGGAGGCTTTTCCTCAGGATCCTTCCAGCCGATTCCCAGGGACCACTGGGGTTTTACAGCTGGTTTTTCCCCAAGATTTAGTTCTGCTAACAAGTCAGCTTCCCTTGCTTCCTCTAGCAGCAGAGAATCTTGTCCTCCAGTTGCTCCCAGGTCTTCTTGGTCACTGGCTGGACTTGACATGATGTTCAGACCCCCTCGGAAGAAAATGTATTATCTCTCCGGGTGGGCTGGTAATGTGAGATTCAGAATAATGTCAGCTGATGCTCCATTCAAAATCCAAGAAAGAAATACTTAGACTCCATTAATCAAAGAAAATATATCTTTTACTGGAAATCAAGTGGTAGCAACAAAAAAATTCTGAATCTGAGAAAATGGGCGCATAAATCACATATACAAAGTCATGGCAATGTTCCCACCCCCAATAGTTCAAATGGTTCTTCCAATTAAAAGTTGTGAATATCATCATGTGGACATCTCCAGGTGGTGATGAGGCTTCTGTCCGTTGACCTTGGCATACTTTGATAAAGGTTTGCAGCTGCGCATAGCATAGAAGAGAAAGCTAACCAAGGAATAGAAACCTAAGCAGGAATCTACTCCCCCCCCCCAGTTTATATAGTTCTAGTTTGTAACACCTCCAGCTCACTTCCCATAATTGTCCCCCCTCCTCCCCCTGTTACTTATGACAGCCGAAAGATGCAAAGCAAAGGGAGAAAATCTTGAAGGCTGACACCAACTGTCTGAATTTTGACCACATGACCATTGGGTCATGTGAAAAATGGTTATTAATCACTTTCTTGATGATGTTGTAACTTTGTTACAACAAATAGTTCATTTAGTGACTAAATGAACTATTGTAAGTTGAGGATGACCTGTATTAGGACATAGGAATTTCAATAGCAGAGTGCATATAATAGTTGTCTGATTTATAGCAAATCACTTTTTTGCAATCTGGCAGAAATGGGTTTTCTTTTTGTTGTTTAATTACTATTTTTCTTTCCCCAACTTACTCACTTTTCAGCTGAGCTTTTCTTTTGAAGTAAACCTGCTTCTTATTTTTTTAAGAAGCATGTAATAAAGTACATAGCTCAAGGAGATAAAAATAATAATTAAGAATAAATATGCTTATTTCTGCCAGGTTTCTAACTAGTGACATTCTACATGCAGGCGATGTGTTACTGAACCTCCATTCTTTTGACTAAAACAAACTTAAGGGGGACAATCTTCAAACTGATGGAGTCTCAAAATACTTTTTCTGTCATTAGTGGGGGAGCGATAACTGAAGAAGAGTCTGTAGGCTGAATAACCTCCTGGTGGACGTTAAATAATATTTCATTTTGAATGTTAATCTCTGTGTTTCAACAGGAAGGCTCTGCTTAGTCTATGTCTAGAGAATGCAGAACTCAAGGAACAAATTGGAGAAGCAAAGTTGTCAGAAGTTTGGGAGAAAGAGGAGGAAAAGAAACATAAAGAGGACTTGAGGCGGTGTATCAAGAAACTGCAAGAGAAACTGTACACTTCAGATATTGTGATTGGCCTCCTTAAAGAACAATTGACTCTAAAAAACCAAGGATGCAAAGGTGCCATCATTCACCAAATGACACCTAACACAGCTCTGATAAATGAGCAAGAGCAGTGCACTTGCCATGCTGTCTGTGACCATTCACCGTTGTTGCATTGCTCACCCAATCAAATTATGGGCAGTCCAGAAGAAACCCAGGTATGATCAGGTTTAAAGAAATTGATTAAACTAACACCTGCCATCATTAATTAGTAATGCCTATTCACCTATGGGTCATACTACTCTTTGGTCTTCTATATTAGAAAAGTCTAAGCTTCGGCCTCTGTGATTAGTTGCAGCTGCTACTCATAGTCCAACTCTGGGGTTGCTGCTATTTTCTATCATAGAGAAGTAAATTATGCTGGTGTGAAATATCCCAAATAGTCAGTGAAAACTAATTACGTTCAATAGCCATGAAAATATGGCTGATTGTGGGGAAGGAGATTCGAGTAGTGATCAAAACCACATATGCTTATTTACCAAGTTCTACTTGTAAACAAAAAGCAGTGCAAATTAAATGCAATATACTTTTTATAATAATTTAAAACAGCTGTGACTGCTGCTTTCTTTAGCTATGCCTAGTCTGCTTTCTTTAGCTATGCCTAGTCTGTCTCCTGAGAGAATTTTTTTTTTATATCCCATCTCCCTCACAGAGTGACTCTGGACTGTGTACAGTAAAATAATAAAAGAGATAGATAGATAGATAGATAGATAGATAGATAGATAGATAGATAGATAGATAGATAGATAGATAGATAGATAG